TTGATATTGATGTGGTTTAAAAATAATAATGTTATTAATATATATATATATAATATTGATATTAATATTAACATTATTATTAATGTTAATATTATTATTATTATATTATTTATTTATTATTATTTATTTATTTATAATTATTTATAATAATAATAATAATAATTATTATTATTATTGTTATTATTATTATTATTATTATTATTATTATTATTATTATTATTATTATTATATATTAACATATTATTGTTAACAATTGTGAACGCATTTCATTCAATAAGCTAGATTATAGTCCTACCTTTTTTGGATTTCTGAGAGAATTTCCTGTGGACACGTTACTTTGATTGGACTCCTGTAAACGATTACTGTGTATTCTTTTAATAAGTGTTACAGCTGCAATGATGCAAGATACTACAACGATGACTGCCGGAATTATAAATTGTGTTGTAGGTTGCCACTTGTCAAACTCGTCATTTAAATCAATCGACCAAAAATACAAGTCTTGCTGCAGAAATATAACATATATTTGTTATTGGTTAACAACTAAATCAATTTTATAGACAAGATGCACACTATGTGGAATGACCAACATAGGTGCATGGTATTTACTATTTAGCGACATGTTCAGCGGCATTTTTACGGAGGGAAGAAGAGCACTTGGAGTGCACGCCAACCAATACTCTTGATCCCAACCAATATATAACTCCTATAGATACACCACTGAACACATTCAAATCGAATGATGTAGGCCTACATAAAACCTATTCTACACAACAATGAAAGATTAACATGTTGAAAGTGTATGAATCATTATTGTCATGCGTGCTAGTCCTATTTTTGTTACTCGGCACTAAATTGGTAATTTATTCAACTTATTAACTACTATTTATAAAAACAATGGCAATTAATCAACGGGCTACTTACATGATAATATAATGAAACATGAATTGAACACAAGATTGAAATCACCCAGATACCGGCTGTAACTAATAGTTTTCTTTTGAAAGTGATGACAGTGCGAACTATGAGTGGGTATTTCAAAACGTAACATCTTAAAATAGAAGAACAATAATCAAACTTCACTAGCAGTCTCATAATGTCGAAGGATAATGAACTTATAGACCTATATAAAGTACAGGCAAATATACAAATACAAAGCTTGCGCCTAGGCCTATATACATTTTATACCAACAGAAAGAGATCGTGGTCCATTATTAGGCGAGCAGGCTAAGCCCAAATAGACAACTACAGAAATTATCTAATTGGAAATCGCAGCGGGCCTACTACCAGCTATTTTTATTTTCTGAAAATGTAGGTCTTTGAATTGTTTACAACTACCAAAATTCCCGTTGGGGTAGGCTACCTCAAAATGACGCATTTAAAATGGCCGTTAAACTTAAAATTATGGTTTCAGCTAAAGTAAGATTAAAGCAACATTACTCAAACAATTAATTCAATTATAACTGAAATGTATTTCTAATATTCTTTATATAAACAATGATTATTGATTTTAATAGAAATGACAATTGTAATTACTATAGTAACATTTTCTTTGCATATTAAATATCTTTTTGTGTGTACAAACCTATATTTAATATAATGATAGGCATAGAACTTATAGTTTTTTTTGTATAAATTTTTAAAATAATTATTTTAAAGTAAATTTTATGTCTAACCGGAAAAATGCAAAGTAATTTTTGTTAGCAACGAATCTAAATCATCAGAATTGTAGTTAATTTTGTAATTACAGAGAATTAGAACCCCTCAGTTCGGAGAGACCCCTATTCAAGGGACAGTGTTTGGCTTCAAGTCAAAGGAATAGGCCTATATGTATGTTAATACTGCTACCAATCTATATTCAGGGGACAATTTTGTTAGTCATATGTGAACGCTTAAGGAGTTCACTGT